ATTAGATTAAGACTACCTATTACTACTCTACAACTCTCTTATGTTTTGAGTATTAGTACTTACTATTGTGTTGATCTCTTTTCTTTGTCCTAACCTCTTTACATTTTTAAATTTTAAACTTTCTAAACCCTTTTAAACTTTTACCACCCTTCTTCTATTCATTACCCTTTTTAGTTTAGTGCTGATTCCTTTGTAGTATAAACATGAACCCTTCTACACCAACTGCCACCCCTACTGTCCTGCCAGATTAGTAGTTACAAGTAGAACTAGCTTAATATGTGTAAACTTCTATCTAAGAGGCTTTTACTAACTACATACCCTCAGCCCCTTTAGAACCTGTTCTAGTTGTTCTAGAAGTTGTAACCTGTTCTAGAAAGAAAGTGTATGTAGCCTACCCTTTAGACTTTAATAAGTAGCACTTTAAGGACTTCTAGTACTAAGTTAAACTATACATAACTACTACTTTGACTAATCTATCCTTAGATCTTGATTGTGTCTTATTTGTCCTCTCCTTCATAAAGGAAGGCAACACAGCCACCTGGGCCTAGAACTGGATTGAAGGATATTAGATTAGAAGCCTGATCCAACTTTAGAACAATAAGTTGTATTCAGAATTTATAAGACAGCTCTGTACTTCCTTTATCAATCTGAATAAGAAGTGTAATGTGTAGAACAAGCTTGTGTCTCTATAACAGAGCAAATGTTCTGCTAATACTTTCTTTCAGGAGTTCAATATCCTGGCCTAGAAGGCAGGATTTGTGCTTAGGTTTAATAATGTCCTTATTAGAATACTTGAAAAAGCTCTTCACTCAGAACTAGTTAATAAGATTCTTAGAATAATACTAGAACTAATCACTTACACTGAGTAGAAGATGTACACCATTTCCTTTGACTAAGCCACAGCTTGAATGTGTTAAGTCTGTACAGAACACTCACACATACATCTGGCTCTAACAGTTCTGAGCTCTCAGATTGATCTGCCTGTTATTTATAATCAATCTGTTCTGATAGACATTAGAGAAGCCTGAAAGTAAGGAGCATACTTTGTTTATAGAAAGTCAGGGCACCAGATTAAGGACTGTTTACAGAAGTAATAGTATATCTGTCAGGTCATTAGAGTAATAATGAGTAACAAGCAGGATTTGTAATAAGAAGCCTTTTCTACAAATCTGAAAGTCACCTTAGAACTCTCAGACTCTGACTATGTACTCTAGGATTTTGTAGAGGCTTAACAGTGAATGTGGTACTGAAGGGCTATGACTTGGATTTTGTAATAGCTACTTTAGATTCAATAGACACTATAGGATTAGAAGTAAACAAAGTAAGAAAAGTAGAAAAAGTAGAAAAAGTAAATTAAC